AAGCAACAGTCGTTCAATGTAATATACTGTATATCAGTCACACTGCTATCTGGCCTATTTTTTAAATTTTTGGGTAGAAAAGATCATTAAAGCAAATCATCAACATTCAGAATATTTTATTTACTTCTATAGTGTAGTGTAGCGCTGCACAATACTGAATACTTTCAAGTTTTCTGCGTTTTAATTTTTAATAAAAAAAATAATGGAGAACTTTGTAGAACCAAATTGGGTCACCGGGGTAAAGGAGGCCGCCTGGAAAGATTGTTGAATAGGCGCCTTTTGGCCACGGTAACTGCGGCGCCTTTGCGAAGTTATTTTGGGTGCAAATGACCAGTTTGCGCGACCATGATTTTATCTGCTTCTGCTGTAGGTAACAGAAGCCATCTAAGGAATTTGTAATACCTGTTCACGAGTCTAAACACTCGCGTTCCTGCCTGTTACGCTCGTGCATATATGCACAATTACTATAGCAATTGTGTTAATAAGCGTTGTCAGCGCACAATGGATTGCATGGGTTCCGTTAGGCGATCGGTAAGCGCTCACTTCCACTGCCAATGTCAGATATTTGGTTTCAGAAATTCAGTTAAAGGTGGATGTTGTGGATGACTTACTTCGAAGTATTTTTTAAGTAGCTGGGCAGATAAGGCTATAGAGTGGAATTCGTTTGCCACCATGTCTGTTTCAGTGGCGGCTTAGGTTGCACTTCAGTGATAGTCCGTTCACCGTAGTTTGTCGTACAAATGAACAGGGTGTTATTTTTCGTATCCAAATAAAACATTTTCATGCTAAGATAGCGTCCACAGCACGCTAAGCTACTGAATGTTTTACTTATTCCTTTATTTTAGTATATGGTAAGCATTAGGTGCTATCCGCTCACTACAGCCATCTTTTCGTAAATTATGATACGATACTAATAAGGGTAGCGTCGACGTAACTTTTTCATTCAATCTAACAGCGACTTTCATAACTGTTCCCGCTGAACAGTGGGTGTAGTAAGGTTGCACAATTTGGAATATTCTTGTTACACGGATAGCACACATCAGTGGATTTCCAAAGTATCCTAGGAGAGGGCTTTCTTCCTTAAGAACTAGCGTAAAACGGAGTTAAATCGCGTCAAAAATTAAGGTTCAAAGGGCGTTATTGTGCCGACTACCACTAACAATGGCAGGTATTTTGTTTCAGACATTCAGTAAATCGCTCAGGCTAGTGTTGTAAGATGCTAGAAGGCTGACAACTGCGACTTATCAAGTAGATAAAGCTAGACCGAAATTCACTTTTCACACATTAATTTTCCGGCTCGGATGTAGTAACACTACGGAGACCGTTTGTTTACCCTAGCTTGTCGTGTGAGTGCACTTGATGCGATTTTCGTTATCTGATGCAAATATTATAGTGACCGCACTACCCTATGCAACAGCATGCTATAAATTTCACTTTCGTTTAGTTTATGGTAAGTATTAGGGTAAATCCCATAATTTTAGCCATCTTTTGTTAATGGTGCTAATATGACGATGGTCGACCTAATCATTTATTTATTTGCTTCTTCTGCCAGTGCCTTTATTCATAAAATCCACCTTCAATTACAGGTCCAATTCAAATTCGCGTCGCGACACCACTGGACGCCAAGTATCCGGTGTAGTTGGGCTGCAAAATTTGGGGAACACGTGTTACATAAATAGCGCACTTCAGTGCATTTTCAACATACCCAAGATGGTGGATTACTTTCTCCGGGAATTCGAATCGCGGAATTTAAATCGCGGTAGCAGATTAGGTTCAAAGGGCGCTATTGCGAAAAGTTTTGCCGACCTTATGAAACGCCTGTGGTCACCGGACACTACAGAGAATGTCATCAGTCCTCATGAACTTAAGGTAATTTTGCCTGACAAATATGTACTCTTTGTACTACATTTTTGTATCATATTGTGTTTAAAGCTGAACACATTGCATTTTTTTGACTTTCGTTTTTTGTGCGTGAGGTCAGCCACCATATTCAGGACGACACGCAGTAACTAGTGATACGTATTCTCCTCACACAGGACTTGTTATGTTTCGCTCACCAAGATTGTAAAGGCTTAATTAATAAAAAGAGTCATTTAGTATTTTCGGATAGTCTTGGAAAGCCCCAATAATTGGGATATTGTTCGTAATGTCGGTATAAGCGACAATTTGAAGTCATGCACAAAATGTATGCAAGACATATCAAGTATGCTATCGACAGATGGACATTAACAACAAAGAGAGAAGACACACGAATGGCTTAATTGCCGGACTCGTCCAGTTTGGCGATAGGGGATTTCTGTGATAATGGCTAAGGCATATGTATGACTCGTTACACCTAATTTTGCGAATGAGGTTGAGAGGCCCAGAAGGCAGTGGTGACTTCCAAGAGCCCTGAAATCGCGAGTACTCGGTTAGAAGTCTAACACACCAATCCACACTAAGCCATAGGCTCGTTGTGCTGTCTGTTGTGCTTGGGCATACTGATAGTTGTAATGAACATAAGGTGGCCGCTGGCTGGGTCCGAGATCTATACATTTGGCCCAGCGATTTGAGAATGTTCCGCTAGGCAATCCGTGAGCCAAAGTTCGGTTTCAGAAATTCAGCAAAATGCGGGGGATATTGTGAATGATTTGGGTAGATATCTATTAGATCAAGAAAGTTCTTACGTATACGAAAAGCCAAGTAGATAGAGCTCAATCGAAAGTCCTTTTTCCCAACATAAATTTCCGGACCGCAAAGGTAAAAATGCGCGGATTTTTCCGTTAACACAGTCTGTCGTATCAGTGATCCGTGATCGCCCATTAACACTGTCAATGTTTGTATTTGGTTGTGGATGATCTGCCTCGAAGTATTTTAATTTAAGAGGCTTTTTACAATTATTGAAACTAAAGTAAATAAATGTAGAGTTAAATTCGTTCACCACAACATAATTAAAGTTTTTGAGATGGAGGCACTGCCAGGACTGTACTTTCCCCATCGCTTTTCAAGTGAGTGCACGCGATGCGACCTTAGTTATCAAATGAACACATTTTCATGCTAAAATAGGGACCGCACCACCCTTTGCCATTAAATGCTTCAATTATCGCTTTCTTTTAGGTTGCATTAATGATCGGGGATAATCCTCTGACTACAGCCGTTTTTTTGTTACGATAGGTATATGAAGAGGTCGACGTTAATTTTATTTACTTAATTTTTCTAAAACCGACTTTCTTGACAGAAACTACAAACATTGCAGGTCTGAGGTAAGTCCTTATACTTACACACTTTGACGCCAACTACGTGGTGTTGTTGGATTGCACAAAATCGGAAACACTTGTTACGTGAACGACGCACTTCAGTGCATTACCAACGTACCCCGGCTGAAAGATTTCCTCATTAACAACATTTATAAGGCAGACATGAATAACGTCAGCAGATAGGGTTCAAAGGACATTATTGCGGAACATTTTGCCGACCTCCTAAAAGGCCTGTGATCAAGGGTCTCCAAGGAAAAATACACCTGCCCTTGTGAACTTATGGTAATTCGGCGTGACAGAAGTTCTTCAATTTACGGTGCATTCTTTTCATGGCCCGCGTTTACTTTTTGTTATTATATTGTGAATATTGTTATATTGTGATATGCGCCTTTTGATTATGAAGCATATCAGGGGTACTAAGCATCTTTTTATTTTTTAATCGCCAATTTAGTAAAATTTCAGGAAATGAGAGGACTCGTTCGTTATTCTCTGATAGACTCGGTGAGCCTCAATAGTTGTGATATTGTCAGTACTGTCGGAATAAAAGAACATGCGAGTTCCACGAAATACTTTAGAAGAAGATGTGATCGCTGGAACAAGAGGCTGATTGGCTTGACTTTATATTTTCATACTCGAACCATAAACTATAAGCATTTGTAAACAAGAATGATTGATACAGAAGATAAACAGTATTTATAGGGTGCAGTTGCTATGGCACCACACACCTACACTAGGTAGCAGCACCCATGTTGATCGCTGGAGGTCAAAGTGATGCAATCATTGCTTGTTTGT